TAATTTTGCAATTATTATTAATTATTCTGTTTAAAAATCATATAAATATCCAGTTTACTTCTGAGATATCAATAATGATAGACTATTACTGATGAAGATTGAAAAATATATTGTTTGTTTTGTATTTCTTTATGAAAGAATTGTATAGGAAGTCGTTTCCCAGGCTGAAATATCCAGTTTCCCTTTACAATTACTTTGGATTGATTTTAATAGAATGCTGGAATTATACAACATGTATTGACTCAACTGTTGTCTCTGGTAGTAATGCTGTGTACGGCAAGTATATTCAACTTATTTGTACTCCTCTATGTATTTAAAAACTATAGTTTTAAAAATGTAAATATTAGTTCTAAGAGATAAAAATATATTGGGTAGAGAAAAATACAGTTTCCTTTGTTATTGTGTAGAAAAGAGGAGCAGTATTTGAACCAAATTTTGAGCTACAGCCTTTCTCATCCTTGACACTCTGACTCCCAGAATTCTCAGCAGGGGCTCAATGGCTGTGTTGGCATAGGAAACCAGGGAGTTGAAGTCCACTTAAAATAATCTTGGTTGACATCACCATCATCTCTTCAAATGATAATTTATTTTACTTCATTGTTTTTTTTTGTTCAACAACAGGATATCCAAACAAATGATAAACAGTACAGTTGTAAAGGAAAACAAATCAATAACTAAAACAGACACAAATTAAAAAAAACTTGGGTGTGTGAATGTATATATTTCTATGTGATTATATATGGGGCTGGGATCTTAAAGAGATTTTCAACATTCATATTATTGTTTTTTAATCCAGAAAGATGTTTTTGTAGAATAAGGCACTCTTGTAGGACAACATATTTTCATTACTAAAATCAATCTGAATAAATGTATCAATTCTAGAGTTTCTTTGTTGTGTTAATTCAGGGGTAGGCAGCCAAAGGTTGCATGTGGCTCTTCTCTAATACTCACAGACTGGTGTATCAAGCAATTCAGTGCAAAATGGCTGATAGTGGCACAGAATAAGGATAGAAGTGGAAACAGGGACTCTGGGAGAAAAATTGCTTCCATTTCTGTCATTAGAACTTCCATTCTATCACCTGCTCCACTTGAAATTGCAGTCCTGAAATTGGAAGGTTTTGCTGTTGAATTTTGGTACAGTAATATAATTTCAGGCCGATTTGGATTGGATTGGAGGTTTTTTAAGGTTTAACTGGAAGTGATTTTTTTATAGAAGCTTCCAGTTCCTATTTCTACCCTTAATACACCAATATACAGAAAAATAAACTCAAAGCATGTGGGCCTCCTCTCTGCTGTAACCATCCAGGGAAATCATCTGTGTCTCTCCTGTTGAGTTGTGGACCTGATTGCTAGGAAAGTTCCCCACTTCTGTGTTCCTCTGTCAACTAAAGCAATTTCCCCCACGTTTGAATACTACTGATCCAATGAAAGATGTACTTGAATTTTTCCAAGTTTTGCAATAAAACCTAGCAGTTAACAAGGAACTGCATCAATTTGTGATGTTGGATCCATGTACACGCCTTGCAAATACCAGCAGTAACCATGAGTGAGATTCAGTGTGCAAGACTGTTATGTGATCTCCAGTGATGGTAGCATGTATCAATTGGACCATAAGGAATGATTGAGTGTTGCCACCAAATATGATAATGGTAATAGTTTGCTTACAACCATACTAACATTGGCTGGAAAGTATATACAGTATAATACCACCTATGGATTATCTTGCTGAAATAAATTTAAAGGAAATGTTATGCCCCAGAGATTTCTGATGAGATTCATTGAGTACAGGTTCTAGATCATCTCCCCAGAGCTTTTAAAGATTTTTGTGCTTAATATCTTGAACAGTTCTTGATATATGAACAGTTCTTTTAGTGAAAGAAATTGTAACCTTGGCTTTTCCATGATTCTCAAAGGACAAGGAACTTCTAAATCATAAATATATTGGCAAATCTTTCTTACAGATTCTTTTGAAATTAATATTACATTTGATGCCCCTCTCCGTTGCCAGTACCTTCCTGTCCATTGCACTATCCCAAACACTGGCTGCTTAGTACCTCTTGTTCATCCTGTACATGAATCACATGCAGGAATTGCTTGCATAGCAATCTAGGCATTGATGAACATCGCTTTTGATATGAAGCAAAGAGATGGAAAAGGCCTATAAAATCTTCTAAAGCCTTATGGGGTGGAAGTTAACAGGCATGGGTCTTCTCTGTCCTGGTAGCCCTGTTTGTTTATTCACTCACTGCCTTTATACCCTCTAGTGGGCTAACTTTTTATCCACACCTGCCTGTCACGTGGGATGCAGTGACAAAATATAGTTAGCCCATAACCCAACGAGTTCTGTGGCTAAGTAAGGACTTGATTCTAGGTCTCCCTGGTTCAGGCTCATCATTGTTACCGCAGTACTACACTGACATGCCCAGAGCCAGATGCTTAGTAGCTGTTGTCATGGGTGTTAAGTATCAGGTTTTATTCATCTGAGCTTTTCAACTCAGGAAAAATTATTCATTTAAATGCTTACTGCTTTTTGTTTGAGTTTGGTCTGTCATCCATTGTTAATAATACTGAAGCATTTCATAGTAGAGTTGACATAAAATAAGGTATAAGTATATAAAACATATTTAAAACATACCCCAGACTAATCCCCAACACACATGACTTCAAAGACCTTTTAAGGAATCACTTAGCAAAAAAGACAATACTGGATAGACAATATTCCTTGAAATATAATTTTTTTTAAAAAGATTGATACGCTAAAAAGAATAAAAGCAGACTGAATTCATTATCATTAATATTTTTACTAGTCTGTAATATAATTAGAATATTGGCAAAGAAAAAATTGACTTTCTTCTTCCTCATTCAAACAATTTATGTTTGTATAAACCTTTGACTGGGTTTCTATCACTTTGCACCATAAATGTCTGACAATTAACAGAATGCAAGACTTAGCAGTTAAGATAATTGTTTTGGAAGCTGCTCATTAGTTCATATTCTCGTTAAAAAATTCACTGGTATAGTTTTTTGTTACAAATTTTGAAAAAAGTTATGAGCCATTGATCAGCTACTCACGTGCAGGTTGCCCCGAATCAATGATGTTGAACACGATTAGGCAAACCCTACTTCTTCCAGAGATAGTTTTAATTAAATTTCAATTGACTTCACAAAAAAGAAGCCTAATGATAGTTATTAAGCAGCATTTTTGCTGATGGTGGTCAGTCGAGGGATTCTCATATGGAGAGAAGATATTGTCTGCTTCATGATGTGTACTTTTTATAATGGTTCATAAGGCTTGTTTCTTTATGAACTTTTCTTTGTGAATTGAAGGGGTGGATATATGCCAATTTTACATTGCTTCTGTCTTTTATTCTTGCATTTTGATATTATAGGAGTTTTTGTAAACCATCCTACTTTCAGATGATGCATTCAAAATGAAAAGATTTCAAGTACACCCAGCACCTTCCAGCATCAGTGGTATAATTCAGAATCATATTCTAGTTTCAGTGAAATAAATGATTCTCTGCTATACAGAACTCTGTATGCCAAGTTGCTGAGAGCGCACACATATTTCATTGTTCCCTTGGTCATATGGCACCTTAATGCATATGACTTGACGCCTTGCTTGTGATAGGATGCTTTGCCCATAAACACATTTTCTCCTGTGCAAAAGATACTGCCTGTCAATTTAAATATTAGACTTAAAGACTGACCACCTATCAGTTAGCATTCATCTAAGTTGATTTGGGATATCAAAGGAGGGGTGTTTATTTAACCTAGTGTTGATAATATTTAGTGGCCAAGATGCATTTGTTCAAGCCTTTAGTTTTCATCCTATGTTTGAGGTGAGATACTATGTACGAGAAGGTTCATCTGGAAGCACCCATATTCATGCATCTCTCAGTGCTGTATCTAATTTGACTTTAACATTGTTTTTTGTTCTTGAATAGTTGGTTGTTTTCTACCTTCTTAAATCTTTTGTTTCTGAAAGTATAGCACATTACATAAATTATTGGCATTAACATAAACTTGGGTTTAACAGCCTTTTGGGAATAATGGATACCCTCACTCTACCCTAGACGGTCTAATAAATACCATTTTACTGTTATCTTAACTCACAGTTGGCTATGTTCCATCTGGATTAGTGGTAATAGCATGGACGGGGATGATGGTGCACAATTGATGAAAATAGTATTGTACTTTATAACACAAGCCCTGCCCCATTATGACATCACACACATGTTCAAAAGGGGCAGAGCCTGCATCATAATGGTGAAGCGCTGCTTTTGTCTTATTGACGAAAGCAGTGAATCTTGCAGATACCTGATTTGTGTATAGAGCATAATTAGAAGTTTGATAGTCTAAGCTGAACAATGAACAAATTAATTAACATAGTTTAAGTTGAAAAATTAACAAGTCCCTGCCTTCTCTCAGTCAGTCCTTCCCTGTCATATCTGAGTATCCATGAAGATGTGAACGGGAAGTTGCTAAAACTGTATCCTGGAAGGATAGGCATTTTTTAAATGGGTATGGGAAGAGTATTTAATTTATTTAATCTCTTACACCCAGAGTAATTGCAGGAGAACTGAAGTACAAAGACTGCATATGGAACAATTTCTTTCCCAATCCATTCATTCAGCTGCTGTGCTCCTGTTAGCTAGGCACAGCAAAATTAATAAAAGTAACTCTACATTCATAGGCAGGAATGTTCTCCCCTCTGACAGTAGATAGGGGAAGTGCTTGGAGAACTGTACTCTGAGAACAGTTTTCTATTTTAAGGAATCATCATCATCACCTTTAATAAAGAAGCAACATTTTTTTTCCTTTTCATTCAGTTCTGTTTATTAGGCCAAAAGGCTAAAAATATTTGCATTGATAAATGAAATGAATGGGAATCAGTTACGTCAACAGGTCATTAGATTAGTAGATTGGGATAAAAGTTCATATACAGTTTCTGAGCCTTCCCCAACCCTTATACTTACATCAGTTGTATCCTTTCCTAGATCAAGAGGCATTGTACATGCCTTTGTCACCTCACCATTGCACTACTGCAATTCACTATTCAGAAGCTTCAGCTGGTTCACAGAATGGCAACTCAGGTAGGTACAGGAGCACCACAGTTAACCCATGTATCACCCCTCTTCCATTAGATGCAGTGGCTACCAGTTAGCTTCCAAGTGCAATCCAAAATGCTGGTTGTCACCTTTAAAGTCCAGTGTAGATGCTTTTGAGACTGCCCCCTTCAAATAGAATCTGCCTATCCAGTGAGATTAGGGAGAGAGGGCTTGCTGAGGCTCTCACCTTCAAGGGAATATCATCTCTAGGGACCCTGTAGTTAAGCCTTCCCAGTGATGCCCCCCTCCCTTCTGTGGAACAGTCTGCCTCTGGACATCTGGACCACTCTCTCCCTGATGAGCTTTCATAGGGCGGCAAAATGTGTCTCTTTGAGAGAGCATTTATGGTATATTGAGGACTAATCTGCCCCCAGTGGGTGGCATATTAACTTAGCGTTGTGTTGTGAGAAAATGCTCAAATCAAAAAATTTCAAAGAGATTGGGGATAGATGCAACAAAGTATACTTTTATTGGAATACACTACAGCGGTGTTTCTCAGCAACTGTGGATTTCAACTCCCAGAATTCCCTATCCAGCCTGCTGGCTTGGGAATTCTGGGGGTTGAGGTCCAAACATCTTTAAATTGCTAAGGCTGAGAAACACTGCACTCCAGGGATCGCTGGGCTCCCTGCCAAGGAAGCCTCAGGAGAGCTCCAAGCAAAGCGAGGCTACAAATTACATGTTTGGTTTGTTACCCTGCAGAAAAAAAAGATAAATAAAGCATTGTAAATCACAGTGTGACCTTTACACCGGAATGCTTTTGATAAACTATCAGAACTGACCTCCGTATGGCTTTTCACACTATTAGGATTCTCTCCTATTAGGTATCATCAACACGTTCAATAAACAATAGTGTTTATGGCATGCACATCCTTTCACACCATTCCATTCACACTCTGAAGGAAGGACAGCTGTCTGGTTTCTGTTATCTGTCTCCAGTCCAGGGTCACAGCCTGAGTTGCAGGCGTTTTAATATTTAAGCTAACATAGTATACAGTCCACTTCTAAGGCCTAAATGAATGTATGAATCTCAACTAAACCTCCACAGGTGTTGGCATAGGATGCAATTTGGGCAGAATGATGAAAGTAGTGTTGTGCCAATACAACGCAAGTCCCACCTGTTTTGTATGTGTGTCATGATGTCTTGTGCATATACAAAAGGGGTAGAGCTTTATCACTTTGACAGAAACAGCAAGATCCGACATGTGCTCATGCATCAGTTATGTGACATGATATTGATTGGATTGGTTTTGTTATTTTTAATACTGTACTGTGCGTAGGTACATTAAGTTGCACAGAACCTTTGGTAATTGAATGGCGTAAATAAATAAATAAATCCCAGTAAGCACAGCCAGCAAGGAATTATTAGAATGTTTAGTCCAATATAGCTGGAATGTGCCAAGCTGGAAATCACTGCATTATATCAAAGCAAGTTGCAAGATTCTAATTATCGTAATAGTTCTGACTTGCCTTTATTAAAATAAAAAAACATATCTATTTATTCCTCTACAGTGAGAAGTTGAAATGGCATGCATGATTTGGAAAAATAATTTAAGAAATAGATTTTTGCCAAGTCATGAAGCTAATAGGGAGTTAACCTCAGTAGAATTCCAGGTCCACAAATGAAAATGTTTCTGGGAATGTGGTTGAGAGCTAAGTGTTTTTCTTTCATGTAGGCATTTGGACAAGCCTGCAGCGACATGAATTAGCAGCTCTGATTATATATCATAAAGTGTGGGAAACCTGGAACTGCGGTTTCTAGGGCAGAAAGAATAATAATGGCTGAAGTCTTTGGTGCTTGATTCTGTCTGTATAATGAACAAAGAGAAGCCGGCAATTTAAACACTTAAAATTTGGGAACTTTTTTTTTTCCTTAAAAGCAAAGACTGACTCATAACGCATATCTCCAATCTCTATGTATAGTACCAGTGTTAGGAATATAGTACTTCAAGAAAATCCATGCAGGATTAGACCATTTAGTCTAGTCCTTCAGTGATGACCAGCTGTTGAGGTCATGGCTCAGTATCTGGAGGCTGTTCAGGTCGGGATGGGGAGGAACCCTCTCTGGCAAAGCTGAATGGCTGTGAGTATCTGGTCCTGGTGATTCTCCATCTTTGGTTCTGAATGGGGTTACACTTCCCTATTCAGAGCTGTGGTACAGTTTGATGTGCAGGTGGCCAGGAGAGCCTTCACCCAGATTCATCTGGTGTGCCAGTTGTGTCCTCAAGGTCACACATCTCTTGGGCACCTCTGCAATGTGCTCTAGAAGAGACTGCCCTTGATGACCACTTGGGAGCTGCAGCTGGTCCAGGAAGCAGCAGTGCAGACAGTTATGGGCACACCTTAGTATGCCTGCATCCCATCTCTGCTATGTGAGCTGCATTGATTACCAGTGAGCTTCTAGCAACCATCCAAGTGCTCATGATCACCTAAAAAGCATGGCATAGAGACTGGCTATCTGAAGGACTACCTCTTTCCCATTATTCTCCTCTCTGTAAGATCCAGTGGGGGTTGTATTCATGTCCTATTAAGCAGTGTCATCTGTTCAGACCTAGGAAGCATATCTCCTCTGTCCTGATACCTGCCCCCTGGAATAGCGTCCCCTCCACAGGTTCAGAATGCCTCACCCTGCAAGCTTTTAGATGTCCTTTAAAAAAAACTTTTCTGCAATTTCTGGGATAGGTCAGTGGTGTGCCCATTTGATATGTATTGTTGGTTTTCATTGTGCTGTGTCCCCCCCCCCCCC